ATGCAGAGGAGTATGGGCCAATTGTGCTAGCTTTACAAGTAGGGGCATATTATCTCTGTGTCCAGGACATTGGCTTGATTTGGCTTACCTGATAGGGCTAGTGTAAGGATCTAAATAGCAAAAATATGTATCAAATACTAGACAAATTCCTATTTTCTCTTACGCTAGCAAAGCCCTGTGATGCTTTTTTTTTTTTTTTTTTTTTTTTTTTTTCTCTCTAGCTCTCGGATTGGACAGTGAGAGAGAGAGACAGAGAGAAAGGTCTTCCTTTACCATTGGTTCACCCTCCAATGGCCGCCTCAGCCGGCACCCTGCAGCAGGCACACCACACTGATCCGAAGCCAGGAGCCAGGTGCTTCTCCTGGTCTCCCATGCGGGTGCAGGGCCCAAGCACTTGGGCCATCCTCCACTGCACTCCCGGGCCACAGCAGAGAGCTGGACTGGAAGAGGAGCAACCGGGACAGAATCTGGTGCCCCGACCAGGACTAGAACCCTGTGTGCTGGCGCCATAGGCGGAGGATTAGCCTATTGAGTGGGCATCCCATATAGGCACTGGTTCGAGACCTGGCTGCTCCACTTCCCATCCAGCTCTCTGCTATGGCCTGGGAAAGCAAAAGAGGATGGCCCAAGTCCTTGGGCCCCTGCACCTACATGGGAGACCCGGAAGAGGCTTTTGGTTCCTGGCTTCAGATAGGTGCAGCTCTGGCCGTTGGGGCCATCTGGGGAGTGAACCATCAGATGGAAGACCTCTCCTCTCTCTGATTTGCAAATAAATAAATCTTAAAAAAAAAAAAAAAGAGAGAGAGAGAGAGACTGGATCAAAGGTAGGCATTTGGCATATCAGTTATGACACCTTTTGGGACACCTTTTGGGACTCCTTTATCAGAGTGCCTAGGTTTGAGTTGTGGCTATATTTTGATTGCAGCTTCCTTCTAAGGCACAGAGGTATCTAAGGTATGTAGCAGATGAAGGCTCAAGTAGTTGGCCTTGTCCAATGTGGGAGACCTAGATGGAGTTTCTGGCTCCTAGATTTGAGCTCATCCAGCTATGGCTGGATGGGGAATGAAGCAACGGATGAGCGAGCTTTCTTTGTCTCTGACTTTCAAATAAAAGAGATTACATCAAAAGTTAAAACTTATGGATTCTGATTCTAGTCCTACCTAGTAACAGGCCTATTGTGTAAACTGTGTAAGTCCCAATTTCTTTACTCATAGGTTTATGATGCTTATAATTCATACTTTAACTTTTTATAAAAATTAAAATATAAGCATCTCTGATCATTTTAACCTATCACAGGAAAACTAAAGGCAAAAAAATCTTGCTATAAATAAAATAATCTATATTTCAAGCATGATAAGTAAATCATGAGCCAGGCTGGTGTTTTGGCACAGTGGCTTGAACTTGCCACCTGGAATGCCGGCATCCCATATCAGAGCACTGGTTGGAGTCCCAGCTGCTCTGTTTCCTATTTAGCTCCCTGCTAATGTACCTGGGAAAGCAATGGAAGATGGCTCAAGTACTTGGGCCCCTGATATCCACATGGGAGACCTTGATGGAGTTCTAGGCTCCTAGTTTCAGACTAGCTGAGGACCAGCTGTTGCCATCTGGGGAGTGAATCAGCAAATAGAAGATTCGTTTTTATTTTTTTTCTCTCTCTCTGTAACTCTGCCTTTCAAATAAATAAATTTTAAAACCATAAACATGGCCGGCGCTGCGGCTCAATATGCTAATCCTCTGCCTGTGGTGCCGGCACACAGGGTTCTAGCCCTGGTCAGGGCGCCGGATTCTGTCCCGGTTGCCCCTCTTCCAGGCCAGCTCTCTGCTGTGGCCCGGGAGTGCCATGGAGGATGGCCCAAGTGCTTGGGCCCTGCACCCACATGGGAGACCAGGATAAGTACCTGGCTCCTGCCTTCAGATCAGCACAGTGCGCCGGCCCTAGTGTGCCAGCCGTGGCAGCCATTGGAGGGTGAACCAATGGCAAAGGAAGACCTTTCTCTCTCTCTCTTTCACTGTCCACTCTGCCTGTCAAAAAAAAAAAAAAAAACAACCCATAAACATGATTGTCACACAGAAATTAATATTTATGGAGGATTTTCATGTGTCAGGCATTGTAGTAGGTAAATTTACAGGCATTATTTAATTCCCACAAGTTTCTAATTCAGGTGTAGGTATATTATTCCTATTTTACATGTGTGGAGATTGGTTTTCCCAAGACCATCAAGATAGCAAATGGTGAAACAGAAATTCAAGCATAAGCACATACTGAGAAGAACTCTGTCATTTCACCCTTAGCATAAGTCTGTGGGAGACAGCACCAGTTGCATATGCAATACATTTGACATCACATAGCAGACAATTTCTTAACACTTCTTCCTCTATATGACAAAATCACTTCTTTCATTTCTTTAGTTTTAAATAGCTAACATTTAAAAAAGAAATTTCTATTTTAAAGATTATTAAAATTCTGTAAGATATTTTCACAGCAACTAAAATTTGTGCTCACCAAGGAAAAACGTTACAGTTTCCAGTTCACACTATTTACCACAAAAACTCCAGATGGTCACACAGGAAATGATAGAAGGCCAGTCACTCAAGGCCTAATTTTCAGTGTATAGGTCTTGCCCATGTTTTGATAAATTTATCTCTAAGTAATATCAATTTATGCTATTATAAATAAAATGTTTTTAAATGTTAATTTTCAATTGCCCATTGCTGGTATATAAAAAGTATTTTCAAGTAAAATTGACAAAAATAAGCACTTTTTTAAATGCTTATTTATTTGAAAGGTAGAGCAATAGAGAAAGAGGAAGAGATAGTGAAAGGCAGAGATCTTCAATGGCTAGTTCACTATCCAAATGACTCCAACAGCTGGGGCTGGGCCAGGTCAAAACCAGGAGCCAGAAACTCCATCCTGGTCTTTCACATAGGTTGTAGGAGTGCAAATACTTGGACCATCTTTCCTTGCCTTCCCAAGCACATTAGCAGGAAGCTGAATCAGAAGCAGAGAAGCCAGGATTCAAATCAGAACTGATATAGGATGCCAGAGTTGCAAGCAATATCACAGTACAGGTCCCAATATGCATACGTTGTAGGGTACAGTTCAATGATTATTTACAAGTGTATACACCCAACAGCCACCACCATGATGAAGATGCAGAATAAGGGCGGGCATCTGGTAGTGGTTAAGCCATCGCTTGGGACCTCACATCCCATATCAAAGTGCCTGGATTTGAGACCCAGCTTGGCCCCTAATTCCAGCTTCGCACTAATGCATACCCCGGGAGGCAGCAGGTGATGGCTCAAGCAGTTCATTCTTGCCACCATGTGGAAGAACTGGATTGTTCTCAGGTCTTTATTTTGTGATTTGGGCTGTTGTGGGTGTTTGAGGAGTGAACCAGAGGATAGAAGATCTCTCTTTCATTTCTAAAAGATGCAGAATATTTTAATCACTACAAGTTTTCTTTGTGCTCCTTCCTGTTCAGCCCAAATCATATCTCCAGCTCTAGACAGCCAATTACCTGCTTTCTATTGCTAGAGATTTTATATTCCTTAGTGTTTTATAGAATCATACAGATGGTTTCTTGTGGGTCTGGTTCCTTTCACTCAGCACAATGTTTTTGCAGTTCACCACGTTGCTATGTATATATGGAGTTCCTTCACTTGTTGCTGCGTAGTTTTCCATTTTGCAGATACACCACAGTTTTTTTTGTGCACTCATTTTACTGGTGGAAATTTGGGTTGTTGACAGTTTGAGACAATTATGAATAAACTACTATGAATGTGTATAAGTCTCTATGAACAATGTTATTTTATTTTTAAACAATGCTATGTTATTTTTCTCAGGTAAATAAGAATGGAATTGCTGGGATATATATATAATACACATACATGTGTATATATACATACATACATGTGTATATATTTATGGTAGTATATATAATGTAAAATACTTTATTTCAAACTGAACACAAAAATTATCACAAAATACACCCTAGACATAAATGTAGGGCCTAAAACCATGACACATCTAGAATAAAAGAAATCATAGTGACGTCAGATTTAAATTTTGACTGGATATCAGAAATCTACTTGAAAACTTTCAGAAATATGTGTTTAGAAAAGGAGAAGACAAGGCAGGCTTTTGGCGCAGTGATTAAGTCGCCACTTGGGACACCTGCCTCCCATACTGGAGGGACTGGTTCCAGTCCCGTCTCCTCCACTTCAGCCCAGCTTCCTGCCAGTGCATATCCTGATAGATAGCAGATGATGACGCAAGTAGCTGGGACCCTGCCACCCAAGTGGGAGGCCCAGATTGAGTTCCAGGCTCCTGGCTTCAGCTTGGAAGGCAGCTCCTGGCTGCCTGTAGGCATTTGGGGAGTGAACCAGTGAATGGAAGATTTCTGTCTCTCTGCCTTTCAAATAAATAAATAAATAAGGGAGCTCTTTAGGAGTATTAGGTATGTAAGTACTCCATTTTGCTCCATGAAATATTAATGACAGGAAGTACATCTGACAGGCAGTGATAAATACATCTATTTTGATTTGACCTCTAAATATTTCTTTCAGCAGAATAATGCATTTCTACAGATAGTAAGTTTTTCAACTTGAATAAAACTGTTCTTGGGGCTAGCACTGTGGCACAGTGGCTAAAGCTGCTGTCTGTGGTGCCAGCATCCCATATGGGCACCTGGTTCAAGTCCTGGCTGCTCCACTTCTGATCCAGCTACTTGCTAATGTGCTTAGGAAAGCAGTGGAAGATGGCCCAAGTGCTTGGTCCCTGAACACACATGGGAGACCTAGAAGAAGCTCCCGGCTCCTGGCCCAGCTCTGGCTTTGTGGCCATTTGAGAAGTGAACCAGTGGATGAAAGATCTCTCTCTAGCTCTGCCTCTGCCTCTGCCTCCCTGCCTTTCAAATAAATAAACGTTTAAATAATTAGAAATAAAATAAAAAACATCCGAAACCCAAAAGAAAGCAAAGGGGCCAGCGCTGTGGCACAGTGGGTTAACACCCTGGCCTGAAGCGCCGGCATCCTATATGGGCACCAGTTCTAGTCCCTGCTGCTCCTCTTCCGATCCAGCTCTCTGCTGTAGCCTGGGAAAGCAGTAGAGGATGGCCCAAGTCCTTGGGCCCCTGCACCTGCATGGGAGACCCAGAAGAAGCTCCTGGCTCCTTGTGGGGAATCCCTCAGGAGTCTCAAAAAGAGTCACAGACCACTGCTTACCTGAAAAGGAGGTGAACTGTGGAAACCCCACAGTAAAACATTGAGTTAAAAAGTTACCACTAGCCACAAAATAAAAGTAAAGTGGAGTTATTCATAATAAGTCAGGAGCTGAGGCAATACCTAAATGGCTGTTAGGGAGATGCTCCTAATCATTACCAAGCAGACATCTCTGGTCAGTCAGATAACAGTGTACTACGGACAATACCCTCATACCCATGCTGACTGGACTGTTCAAACATAAGTAAGGCGGGAACAGTATTGACTGGACTGTTCAACTGCAAGCAAGGAGGAAACAGCATTGATTGGATAACAACTCGGAAGACGGCAAGCTGGAGGACTGCCAGAAAGTGAGGATAAAAAGGGGAGCCTTGCACCGCTCTCCATCCTCTTGGGGATCATGGCCCAGTGTGTGTGAACCTCTGGATCTACACACATCTGGAGCGGAAGAGGCAGCCCGTTACTCTGCATGGAGCAGATAGTGGCACAAGCCGACAACGGACAAAGGGCCCAGTGCATGTGAACCTCTGGATCTTCTTGCACGTGGAGCTGAAGAGCCAGCTCGCTAGCCCCCTTGCTAAGTGACCCAAGGCAATGACGGGATCAAAACTCTAGCCGAGATGCCACCTCACCGCCTTGCCTGGACCCCTTATCAGCTTACTGCCAGACCTGACCACAAAGCCGGATCAGGCCTCTCAGCAGGGGACCTCTCCAACTTCTCTCCTTGCCATCTGCCTGGGAACCTTGAGCCTACTGCCCAGAGTGACAGCCTTCCCATGACTTCCTGCCTGTAAGTGACTGATCCGAGATCTGTCTCTGCCAAGATGAGGAGCTCTGGACCTTGAACACTGACACTCTTTTTTGTGACCGTGACACAAGCCTTGAAAACGCAGTTTTTACAAATAATGTTAGTCATCATGTGTAATATAACTATGCTTTGACCCTATATTTTGACCCTATGCAAGGTATCTGCAAATAATGCTGGAGACCTTGGTGTACATATACTATTATAATTGGATAGCCCTCAAAGTACTTTAACACTGTATACTGTGATCAGTTATTAATGAATAATTTCAAGTAGTATTGATATTGATATTAATGGTATTGATTCCAGTAGTCCTCTAGTCATTAAAGAAATAGTGTTACTCTGATAGTTAAGTGTTATTATAGTAAGTAAGTTAAGTAGAAGATAAGTAGTTATGTTAAGCAAAGTAATTAAGCTAAGTAGTTACGTTAAGCTAAGTAGCTAAGTTAAGTAGTTAAGTCACATTTAGTAGTGGTCTTAAGTTTATTGATAGGTGTATTAAATAGTATAGATTGATAAGTATATCTCTCTGTGTAACTCTGACTTTCAAACTAATAAATAAATCTTGAAAAAGAAAAGAAAGCAAAAGAAGCCTCAGAAATTTTTAAGTCATAACCTCTGTCCCTTTAATGGAAGATTCTAGTCCTGAAGTTTCAAATACTAAGTCCTAGAAGCAGACTTTAAAGGATTTCCTGTACTTCCCTATGCCAAAATTCCAGTCAAATATAGCCTGCATCTTTTTTTTTTTTTTTTTGACAGGCAGAGTGGACAGTGAGAGAGAGAGACAGAGAGAAAGGTCTTCCTTTGCCGTTGGTTCACTCTCCAATGGCCGCCGCGGCCGGCGCGCTGCAGCCGGCGCACCGCGCTGATCCGATGGCAGGAGCCAGGAGCCAGGTGCTTTTCCTGGTCTCCCATGGGGTGCAGGGCCCAAGCACCTGGGCCATCCTCCACTGCACTCCCTGGCCACAGCAGAGAGCTGGCCTGGAAGAGGGGCAACCGGGACAGAATCCGGCGCCCCAACCGGGACTAGAACCCGGTGTGCCGGCTCCGCTAGGCGGAGGATTAGCCTAGTGAGCCACGGCGCCGGCCTTTTTTTTTTTTTTTTTTTTTGACAGGCAGAGTGGACAGTGAGAAAGAGAGAGAGAGAAAGAGAAAGGTCTTCCTTTCTCTTCCAGGCCAAAGCCAGGAACCAGGAACTCCATCATCCTGGTGTCCCACATAGGTCTCAGAGGCCCAAATACTTAGGCCATTTTTTGTGGCCTTCCCAAACGCATTAGCAGGAAGCTGGATAAGCAGCAGAGCAGCTAGAACTTGAACCAAAATGAGATGCCAGCAACACAAGTGGTGGCTTAACCCACTGCACAACATCGGCCTCTAAAGTTTTATTTTGTCCATGTTTTTCACCTGGGGCCCTTCTGAGTCTAAGTTCATCACAGCCTCTTGGTGGGAACAGCACTATAAGAGGATATAATAGAAAAATGTTTTTATAAGGCTTAAGTGGCCATTCTAATCCCCAGGTGAAGGTTTCTCATTTAAAATTCTTGGCTTGCTGCAGAAGAAAAAGTTATTTAGTTCTCTAATTTGGTATTAACCACCTGTTATAATTTATTCAGCATTTATTATATATATGGTACTTTATTATATATATATGAATTACAATCTTCACAATAATTCTAAGATGTAGAAACTATTGATTCCATTTTAATGATGAGGATTTAGGAGTACAGAAGTCCTATAAGGCTAGTGAGTAAAGATATGGTTAATAGGCCTAATATTGAAGATTTCAATAGATGTGACAGAAAAAGTTGAGTCATAATTTGGACACATACCTGGTCTAGATTCGTCTTCTTCCAGATCTATTTGTGAGCTCAGGCTTCAACCTAGCTTTGAAATCTGAGCTCTAGGGGAGCTCTTGTGAGAACCAACTGAAGCGACGGTATCCCATATAGGCGCCGGTTCGAGACCTGGCTGCTCCACTTCCCATCCAGCTTTGGATCGGCGCAGCTCAGGCCGTTGTGGCCAATTGGAGAGTGAACCTCTCTCTCTCTGCCTCTCCTCTCTCTGTAATTCTGACTTTCAAATAAATAAATAAAAAATCTTTTAAAAAATCTGAGCTCTGACAAACAATGGGGTAAATCATTGGATAACAGAAAATGAGAAAAGCAGGGCATATAACAGAGAAAATGCTTACTGTAGTTTTACTGAGACTGCTGTTTCTCAAACATTCTTCCATTCGCTCTAGGCACTTGCAGGATGATACCTAGGGAAAACCAGAGGGGACACAAACAATTAAGAGATTACATATCTATATAAATTTTATGCTGAAGGTGAAACCCAACTTGATTATCTTTTTTATTTATAAGATAGGTAAGCAATAACTACAAAATATAGATATCTTAAAAAATTTCTGCATGTTTAAGTAATTCAAGAACATGGTGAAAACAAAGAGAAAAAGGACAGTCACCTGATATATGTTTTCTAGGCTTTCTAGAAAAACATAGATTTGTTCCTTTGGCCACTTACATGCAAATCTACAAGAAAGGTGATATTATGGACATCTGAGGTGTGGGTACTGTTCAAAAAGGAATGCCTATGAATGCCGCTACTGCAAACCTGGAAGAGCTGACAGTGTTCCCCAGCATGCTTTCAGCATCATTACAAACAAGGGCCAGATTCTTACCAAGAGAATTAATATGCAAATGTGTTTCTACATCACTTCATGAAATGCATGAAGGAAAATAATCAGAAGAATGACGCCAAAGAGAAAGGTACGTGGGCTCAGCTGCAGCTCCAGACTGCTCCTCCCAGAGCAGCACATCTTGTGAGAACCAACTGAAAGGACCCCAGGCTGCTGAAAGCTATTCCCTAGTAATTCATAGCATCATAGGTGTCAAAAAATAATTAGACATCTGGGCCATAAAAATCTTTCTCTTGAGTAGAAGTGTATCATCCTCTCCCCCACTCAAAAAAAAAAAAAAATTCCTCTAAAAATAGTTAAGTTCTTCCTAACTGGCAATGGTCATGTGCCAAGAAAATCAAGATGGATGAGACCGCATGATCTGCATCTTTAAAAGGTCCAGTCAGCCTAAAGTGCTACCAATGACAGAAGGCTGGCAAAATGCTATGTGGAATGATTAATTCTGCTCAGAGGGCTGGGAAACCCAAGCAAGCTATCAGGTATTAGCTGGTTTGGACGTTAAACAGTTGGACAAAAACTTTACAGTAGAGTTGGCATCCTGGAATAAAGTGAAAATGGTATCTTCTCAGGTTTTAGTCCTCTAAGAGAAGACAGGTGTCAGATATAAATCTACCACTGGAATCAGGTAATTAATTATATGGTTTATATTTGATTACTATATTGTTGTTGTTGTTTTCTGCCTCTTGGGGGAAACAAAGTTGTATTTACCAAAAGTTGGTCCTAGTACTCTTAAGAGCTATGTGAATGCAAGTCAACATGGCAGCTCCCCACTATCCTCACCCTGTAAGAGGTAGTTTAATGAGATGTATATACATTGCAAAAACACTGTTTGGTCTAAATATCAAAGTTTATTGAAATAAAATATAATCTATAATAAAAAATACTACAGGTGTTATTCACTGGTTAACAGTTTTAAGTGTATTAACAAACATCCAACATTTTAATCCAACAATGACACTATCCTTGTGGTACAATAACAAACATGAAATTAAATGTTGAGTAATACTGAATAACTGTTACAAATATTTTATACATTCCCATCTATGTTCAAAATGCCTTTTTAGGAACATCTTCCAAAAATGAAGCTTTTGAAACTTGCTTAAGATACAGTTTTTAGTTAGTTTTAGCATGATTAGCATTTAAAGCAATACACTTATTTCATAGAAATTCAGTTCAACCCTAAGCTGGGTAGGTGCTTTTAGGTGTCTTTATGAATTAAAAAAAAAAAAAAGGTCTTTCAATGATATTTCCTTTTAATTTTTAGGGTTTATATTATTCCTTTTTAAATAGATTTTATTTATTTGGAAGGCAGAGAGATTGATCTTCCATCCACTGGTTCACTCCCTAAAGGGATTGCAATGGCTGGGGCTGGGCCAGGCTGAAGTCAGAAGCATGGAGCAGCCTGGACTAGAACCAACACTCATATGGTTTGGGCATCTTAGGCGGTGGCTTAACCTGTTTTGCCACACTGCTGGCCCCTATTATTCCTTCACTAGAAATGCAGCAGTCACAAAGCAAAAGAGATGCATTATTTCATAGGTAGACAGGATATTAAGACAAGAGGAAAAGAGTAGAAAAATGTAGGCACTCACACACAAGCTTTATATCTAAACTCTTTGAACACTCAGTTGACCAATCTTGGTCTGGCACAGAGATCTATAACATCATAGCAAATTCTTGACCCAATTAGTTCTGATAGTAAAGTGGAGGAAGAAAATGTTTCTTTATCTTGCTATGTTTCAGGGTTACTTTTTGCAGCCATATACCATCCTACTTGTTTTCCCCAGAACATGTGCCTCAGTACAATTATTGTGCAAAATTCAAGGAAAAAGATTTACATGCATTAGCTGTAGAAAATGACTTTCAGGGTACTTTTGAAGTTTCACAGGTAAAGCTTATCCCTTTTGCAGACTGCTGTGTAGCACTTATACATCAATCTTTATTATATTGTCCTATTTGTGACTTGTAGATATGTGACAATCATCTTTTTATTGAAGAATACATAACCTTTTGACAAAAACCAATGGAGGCTTTTGAAAGCCTCATCTTTAAAAATCTGTAAAGCTAAGATATCATATGTACCCTGTGGAGGGAAATGGTTATTTCATATTACTCATATGTGAAAAAGAACAATAACTGAAAAAAATTGAGACATTTAAGACAGATCTTCAGAAAGTAAATAACAATCTTGGTCTGGAGACATTGCATTAGGTACAGCTGCTTGTAGGGCATTTCAGTTACAAGCCCTTTGGACAGGCCACTGATTTGACAATTTAAGCGGCATTTCAGTTTTATGACTTTCTGTTTAAAGCTGCAAACAACTACAAGGGCCAAAGAAGCCAGGATCATCTCCCAAAGAATTTTGCTTTTTGCAGCCTCTTAATTTATGAGGGAGGTATCCTTGTCTCTCAAAACAGGATATTACAATGTGGATCGCCATTAGGGTTTTAAAGGTAACAGGGATAAATTGTTAAATGCTTTGAAGGAATCCTCAGAGTACAGTTCAGACAAAATAGAATTATTGTAGAACAATGTTTTGTTTTGTTTTCTCTTTAAATCTACTGTAGTTCAAAGCCTAAGATTTCTATTTCTGTCATGTTATCTTAGTACCTAAAATGGGCTACCACTATGCCCTAAAACAATCTGTGTTAGGTAGAGAAATCTGTCTCTTCCTTTTTCAGGACAATAGGACAATGCTGAACTTGAGGCAACAGTTGAAGAATTTTACCCTGTTTTTCGAGTTTAATTTTCTTGAGATCAGAAAAGTGAAATTAGAAACTAGAATCTCTCATGTAAAAATATATATGCATATCACAATTTATTCAACTCTAACAGCAGAAACACTAGGATTCAGTAAGAGACATGCATTAATTAAAGTTTAGATCAATTTTCAAAAAGTTAAGCTTACCAGAATCCTACAATTTTTCCCTCACACTCCATTATCTCTATTTTGTAGTTTACTTAATCAGGAAGCCTTTGATTTTAAAATTTAGTTTAGAATCACCTGAGAAGAATAACCTCAATTCTTCATGTTTCCCCAATAGTCTCAGAAGGGTTGGACATCACTAACAAAAGACATTAACTTATCAGAGAAACTAAGAACTCTAAGATTCCAATGAGTTCCTTTACTATTTTCAGTCCCTTTCTGAAAAGAACTTAATGGCACATTATCAAACAATATTTTACACTAAAAAAAAAAAAACCACAAATAACTAAAATAGCCCTAAAATCAAAGTATTTGACAGATCCAAATGAATTTCACCTATGTAAAAAAATTAATATATTAGTAACTTGATACCATTGTATTTTATTCCACAGTGGGGGAAAGTAATGAGAATCTCAATGTTTAGATCTGTAAAAGATATTGAAAAACACATATTTTAAAATGCTTCTTATACTCTGTAAAACTCTTATTTTGACTCTATAGTCTATAGGAAAAAAAAAGCAACTGTAAAACACATTTTGGGAAGAGATGACACCATACCAAAGACAAGACAATTCTACAAATTTTGACAATATTAACAAAACTGGGTTAAGACACATTATTCCATTGGAAAAAAAAGGTCTCACATTTACAAACAAAAAAAAAAAAGTATAATATCAGTGATGATTTAAGTAATACTCTGTGCTTATACCATGCCCATTATTCAGGAGTGCAAAACACTTTTTTAAAAAAGCATTCTTCACACATTTAAAGAGCAAATTGAGGCACAGAAAGTTTGCTCAAGGCAAGATAAAACTGGATTCTCAAATACAAAATGATCCAGAATTTCACATATCCAGTTTATTAAAATACAAATTTTAGACTAATTTTAACACCACCATCTTAATTTATGAAATATTAGTAAGTTTTCAATTATATTTTAAGTTGCATGACTAAGTATGAGTGATGTGTCAAATCTATAAGCTTCCCATGTTTTAAAATCACAGATACATTGAGAGGAAAGTTAACAAAATATAATATTTAAAAATTTTAAATAATCAAGATTCCTTGAAGACATTTCTGAAAATTATCTTAATTCCCCACTGCAAGATTTTACAGATATCTGTTTTGTATGCCAACATTAATATAGAGATCATAATTATTCTTTCCTTAAATATTTGCCTCTAGTCCTTTTTCCTTTCAAGATCTCTTAGTGAACTGAGTTTGTGATTAATTGAAAATAAAATGCTAGTTAGATTTTGTGCAAATATAAAAAAGATTGATGTTGAGTTCAGTCATGTAAGTTCTCTCATACTGTTTTTTTAGCTAAGCAAGGATCAACAAGTATGAGGAAGAATTCACAACAGAGTGTGAAGTAAGCAAATACTATCACACGAGACAATAAAAATGAGATACAATTATATTCCAAAACCTAATCCTACGCTATGCCTCATTCAACTACCTGACCTTGAAACATGGAAGACATTACTTTAGTTAAGCACACTGGACCGGTGTACAACCAACGCCAATTGTAGCTGGTTCAGAAAGCTAAGTGTATATATGTATATTTGTGTGTGTATTCTTAAAATGGTGATTCTTACAACTGAGGTAAAGTTTCCAGATTCCTTTGAGAATCTAA